AACAGCCATATGCCCTGGGCATCTCCCTAGCCTTGCTCAAGCTTCTGGTTCCTTACGGGTAGACTGGGGCAATAACAGGACTTATCTTGTGAGGTGGTGAGGATTAAGATAATGGTAATAAGTCCCATTTCCTGATCGCTTACCCTGTCCAGTACCTACATGTTCTGTAAGAATTAGCATATATATTTGGTCTGATAATGTATCTATTATACTTATGCACATAGAGACACTAAAAAGTAGTTGGTCTCTGTGCATAGAGGTTTCTTATATGTATACAATTGCATAGAGTTCTATTAAACATGTGTATCTGTACGTATACTAGATATACTATGTATCTTTTAACAGTCTGGTTCTGTTGCTCAGGCTGCAGTGTAGTGGTGCAATTATGGCTCACTGCAACCCTGCACTGCCAGGTTCAAAAGATCGTCTCACCTCAGCCTCCCTAGTAGTTGGCACCACAGGGGTGCCACCACCACACATGGCTCATCTTTTAATCTTTTGTTAGAGACAAGGTCTCCCTATGTTGCTCACGCTGGTCTTGAACTCCTGGGCTCAAGTGATCCTCCAGCCTCTGCCTGCTTCCCCAAAGTGCTGGGATTATAGGTGTGAGCCACCACGCCCAGCCAAAATGTGTATATTATTTGATCTTTAAAATATTTGAATGCATATGGATACATGTACATTGTATAGATATATATGTGATTTATTACATAAAATGCTTTGTTAGGCTGTTTTGTGTGTTTTAATGTATCTCATTATAAGAACCCTTTAAGGTAATAGTGCAATTATCCCCAATTCATGGGTGAGGTAACTGAAAGAGGTCAGGAGAGGTTCTCAATGCCTTCTGTATGAACTTAGACACTTGTGTAAATACACAGAGATCATATATTTTGTAGAGTGTCTGGCAATGTATTAACAAATTTTATCTATTCTTAATAGATGTTACAATACTTGGTCCTTTTAGAAAATGACACTATTCGTTTTAAATCCTATGTATTTTCACCACAATGCCACCTTGCTACTGAGAGAACGTTACCCCTTTGAGATAGTTGGCAAATTCCCTTCTTCAGGCCAGATACCTGTGATCCAATCAGCCTTTACTATATAGGCCAGAGAGGCTTCACTTTCCGCCACCCCCCACCCCCCAGGTCTTCCAGGAGGGCAACCGGTGCACAGCATGTAAGACTAGACCCTTGTGGGAGACTCTTCAAAAGGGCCAAAGTTCAACCCCAAATCTACCTCCCTTTAAACTGCAGACAGCAGCAATGAGATGCCCTGGCTTTACCCATGGGTCAAAGGACTGGGTTTTATGCTCTGAGATGAACTGGTTCTTGGTCCAATATCAAGCTTCAGGTTCAGTCCTGAGCAGTTGTACAATAAGCATTTTGGACCCTTCAGAAAAGGACTGCAGCTTGTGAGTTTACATGCAAATCTAATATATTCATGTATACACACACATGTATTATCCAGGATGATGAAAAAACACGAACTCCCTCCCCCACCAAAAAAGGCTTTAAGTTTTCCAACAAAAAATTACTTTGAGAACATTGAGTCCCAGGTATTCACTGGTTTAACAAAAACCCTTCTCATGACACCCTGTGATTGCGAATATGCTTTTGATGTATGGGTACATGTAGGTATGTGCTTGTGGATGTATGCACAGAGATCCCATGTACACATGAACATGCGTGCACACACATTTGTTAGCTCTCCCAACGGTGTGTCCTATCTGGAGGAAGAACTGAGCATGAACACAATCAAAAATCAATGGACGATGGTACCTCCTAGGTGATGATGGTTTTAACCTCATGGGTGCTGAAAGCAGAGGGGGTCTAGGAATCTGCTTTTTCAAGCTCACCAGATTCTAAGGTCTGTAGCACATAGGTTGGACGAACACTCAGCAGTAACAAAGCTTTCGCTTGTGTGCACATGCATGGATGCGTGAGAGAATGAGTGCTCACAAAAACTGCATTTCCTTCCAAAATGGCTACTTCCCAGGAAGTAGAAAGAGGCTTCAGAAGACATAAGTAGTAAAAGTTGTCAGGATGTTGAGTGGGAACTTAGTGGTTCAAACTAACTGAACTGTATCTGTAATATTTTTGTTAAGATGGAGAAGATTTTACTGTTCAACATCTTGCTTTAAGAACTACATAGCTGGCCAGGCACGGTGGCTCGTGCCTGTCATCCCAGCACTTTGGGAGGCTAAGGTGGGTGGATTACCTGAGGCCAGGAGTTTGAGAACCAGGCTGGCCAACATGGTGAAGCCCCATCTTTACTAAAAATGCAAAAAAATAGCTGGATGTGGTAGCAACTGCCTGTAGTCACAGCTACTAGTGGGGCTGAGGCAGGAGAATCACTTGAACCTGGAAGGCAGAGGTAGCAGTGGGCCAAGATCATGCCACTGCACTCCAGCCTCGGTGACAGAGTGAGACTCCACCTCAAAAAAGAAAAAGCCAGTGGGATGAAGCAGTGGCTACCCCTCAGGCACTGTCCATAGAAAATGCCAGCCAGCCTCTATTTCTGCATGAAGCATATGCATGGCATATGGGCTTCCTTTGGGCTTATTTTCTCACCTCTGCCCACACTCTAGGGGGGAGGAGGGACAGGAGTGGGATGGCAAGAATCTGCATCCACTGGCCAGGTCTCTTAAACTCGTTCGCTTCTGCCATCAGTTCTTAAATTTCACATAAAACTTACATGCTTATCTCTATTTTGGATAAGAGCCTGCTTTGGGAGATTCTAATGTAAACTATATCTGTCATCATCTCTTATATCCTCCTATTTAGTGGGGGAAGCGCTCAGGTATAAACCAGTATTTTAGGAAACCGTTATCTCCCTCCCTGTGAGGATAAAGCTAGTGACTTGTTTTAATTAGGATATCCATACATACTGTGTAAGGAGAGCACAAGCATCCCAAGTTTAACATCACCACCATTACCACCATCACCATGGATAATAAAGTGGGCATAGACTTCGGGGTCAGACAGTTGATGTTGTGCTCTTTCAACACTCGTTAGATACAGCTTTGGGCAAATCACACGACCTATTGGATCCTTCCTGTCCTCATAAAATACGGGTAACACTATCCTGAAGGATCAATTGACATAGGCCAATACAAGTTGATAACCTGCATGATCTTCATATATAAGGTGTTTACAGAGAAGGGATGATTACTTATACTGAAATAAGATGTATGCTGTTAAGACAACCTGGAGTGTGGAAGAATGGAGAATAAAGAGCCTGCAGGTGGCACACGGGGTTAAACTCATGTATAAAGTTCTCATTGGTCAGGTGAGAACATGCCTTGTCAGTTAAGGGTGTACATTCTGGAATCCTAGGGTGAGCACCTCCTTGCTGTGTGACCTTGGAGAATTTAATCTGTTTACTTCACCTGTGGATAATAGCGTACAGTTGAAGTACTGCCGCAAGCACTTTACAGAGATTGCTTTCTTCTCCATAACAATATTAGGTCAGTGCAGTTATCATCCTGAGGTGAGGTGAGGAAACTGAGGCACAGTGCTTTGGTTTAATTCATCCTAGATTGCCACCAGCAAGTGACAGAATCAGGGTGTACACTCAATGTTTCTAGAATGCACATTTTAAAAACCTTTGTCTTACCACCTTATTAAGAATATTAAGATAAAATGAGAGGATTAAGATACTAAGTAACTAAATGGGGTGGACAGTTCAACTCTGACAAGATTTTTAAATAAGGAACACACGACTTTCGGCTCCTAATGGGGCACTCAATGTATGTGAACTCTATCATTTGCTACATTTTTTTATCTTATCCAAGGTCTCCCAAAAAGTTAATAGCTCAAACATATTTGAGATGAGTGATGTTATTTTGTTTTAAACCGAAGACTGACACTTCCATGCTAAGTTTAGTTCAGTTTCTTAAACAGCTAAGGTGAGTTCACTGACTTCTTTGGAAAAATGGGTGAGGAAGGGGAAGCACTTTGAACCAGAAAACCAGGGCACTTGCCAGAGGCATCTGGTCTACTGGTAGCCAGGGCAGCCTGCTGCTCACTTGAGCAATACCCAACCCCCCAACCCCCCAACCCCATCTCCGGGTGGGCCCAAGTGCAGTCACACCTGTGGACAAAGAATCCACCCACTGAGAAAACCCATGGGAGCCAAAAAACTCAGAACACCAACTTGTACCTTTTCAGACTAAGCTTTTATTTTTTTGATATTACAAACCAGTTTTCTTTATTCACAAACCACTGTAAGTGATATAAACACTAATTTCTAAAGACAGATATACACATTTTCTGGGTTTGCAGATTGCGTGATGTGTGTGTTAAGAAGTCACTATATGCCACACATAGTAGTAATTTTCCATAATTCATAATAGCAATAGTTATTTAGATAAATGAAAACATTCCAAATAAATACTGTTTAAAAAAAAATCCAAAATGTTTGTTTACATCTCTGACATACATTTTTAAAATGACTTATTGGCATCTTGGAGTGCCTAGACAAAAGATTCTGCAACATCAGTTGGCACCCACTTACTCTAAATGATTTTATTAAAACTACATACAGTCATGGGGGAAAGTACAGCTCATTGATGAAAATCAAAACCGCAAATGAATTTTACTTTAACCAACACAGTAAGAATTCTATGTTTGTGATTCGAAACACAATACAAATTCTGGATTTTGAAATCTGAGGCAATTGGGAGAAATTTATTCTCCATAGCCCCCCTGCTCCTACTCTTTCTTTCCCTCCGGAGGATGCCATCGTATGTTAATAACTCGTTTCGTTTAAGAACATCAGTGAGGCACCCATTGCCATAACACAATTTTCCAGGTGGGGGAATGAGAATGTCTCAGTGATGCTATAAAACACCCCCTTGCCCCTCCCCTCACCCACCCAAAGAAGTGTGGTGAAAAGAACACTTCATATGCTTTTGGCTGATAAACCTTCTCCCCCCTCCCCCTTTTCTCTTTTCAAGATCACTATCTGTCTTAGATATGGAAGCTACAGAAACTTTGTTTTCAAATCTTGTGAAACTTTATTGATGGTTTAATATCCAACTGATCTTACGGCATGCACATAGGATGGCAAGAGAAAGCTGGATCACACTTTTTTTTTTTAAGTTTTGTTTGGTTTTGTTTTAAAGCAGAGTTGTTACAGCGGATTGGCAGGTTCACAGCGGTGAGTTGATAACTTACTGAAGTGCGTGCCACAGGGCCTGCACTGTACACATGAGGACTTAACCTATGGCAGCAAAACTACTCAGGGACAGCCTGCTGCTGTTTTCATTTAAATACAAAAACAGGAAGACCCGTGACAGATACCCCAACTTAGGTTAACTTGTAAACAGGACAACGTGGAAAGTTCAAACAGAAGTACAGACAAACTGCAATTTTTCGGCTGTGTCACTCTGGCCCTGCATCCAAGAAAAAGGGGGAGACTTGGTTCTTTTGGGATGAAGAGGATGGATCTACTTTGTTGTTTTTGTTTTTTGCATCCTTCTGACAAGCGTCCTGGGCCATGGAGATAGAACTAAAGAGATCATTTTGAGATAATCCTTGGGTATGGGAAAGAGGTGGAAGGGCAGGATCTCACGGACTGAAAAATTGCAGATTGCTCACACAACGCAGTCACGTTTCAAAAAGTACCAAGCTGATGAAAATACCATGATTATCTCTACTCAATGATTGCAATACTTGTAAAATGCTTCTATAAATCCGAATATGATTATCATGTAATTCCATAAAAATTATACGTCTGTCTCTAACAGTTGTTCTACTAGGCTAAAACTAAAGCTTCATAGACTGTTTCTAGAACTTAACAACTCCACTGCACAGATGTAAATTTTATACATTTTTTAACTGGTACAAAGAATTTAAGTTATTACTTTCTTTTTTGGAAAAAAAGAAAAAAATAGAAACAGTGCTTTTTATCACCTTTTTATTAATGTTATTTTTTCCCTCCCATAATATAAAAGTCAGCAATGATATCAATAATTTATTATACTGGAAGAAATATAAAAAGAATGTTTGTTGATGGCCTAACTAGCGGGTTTTTTTTTTTTTTCCCCCTAAATAGCGACTGGTTAAGAAGCTGAATACTGCCGGGTGGAATGGTTTAAAGGGTGGGTTTTTGCACAGCTTCATTCAACTCAGATGCACAAGTGCTACTAGAAGCACCCCCTTAACAACATAACCTTTGGCTTGAACTGGCAATGAGTAACTTAGAACCATTGATAAATGATTGTTGGTGCAGTGGGTCGTTTAGATTCATCAGTTATATATTTTTTTGTCTTTCAGCCAAACCCCAGTTCCAATCCCCTAAGCCCCTCCCAACCTCCCCTTTCACAAAATAAAATAATGCAGATGCAGAAAAAAATGACTACTGTAGTCACTTACACTCTTCCCAAACAGCTGATAACCCCAGTTAGCTTAATATTCAGCATATATAATTCATTTACATAATATAGCACTCTGGATATGGCCCTAAACCAGTTTTTATTCATATCTAGCGTCTGTCTAGATCAACCACAAAAACTCCTACAGCCAGCAACCAAACTACGGAACCTTCAGAAATTAAAGACCCACAATATTAAAATACACAGAACAAAATATCTGAGGTATAAGATAAAAAATGTAATTTTTTTCCTTTTATTTGTATTTTATTTTTTTTTTTTAGAGTTGCTAAAATGATGTACTACTGCATGTATTGCAATACTCAGGCCTCGGAAAGCTTCCTTTCTCCCCACATTGGAAGGTTTTTATGGTTTTGTCATTTAGTATGGAGCAAAACGGTTGTATCCCCCTCGGTATATACTAGCCTGCAATGAAGAAAGAACGAGACCCACATCATCAGCATGGCTCCTAGTCTTGGCATCAGTCAAAGGTGCAAAAGCATTCTGAAACAAAGCAATTTGAGGGGTGTGTTTTTTACATTTTCCTTTTGCAACATGTGGATCATCAAAAAGACTAATGTGAAAAATAGACACTCAAAACCAACCGAAATGGAGGCACCCCCTACCCATCCCAGGTCATTCTTGGAGAACTAAAGAATAGGGCCTTTCTTGACCCTCCCCAATAGCTCCTCCTAAAGAAATTCCCTGTAAAACCAAATTCTTTCAGCCCAGTCCTCTCAGCTAAAAGGACTCTCATAAGCTGGACAACTGAAGGATTTTCACTGTCTCATTTTTTTATTGGACTGGATTAAGCTTCCCCAAGGGAACAGAATAATCTACACTTGAGGTTGAATTTGAACAATTTACTGAATGTAATTCAACTCGCCAACACACTCCTCAAGTGGACGAGGTGTTGAAGCAGAGTTGTTGCATGCAGAATTGGGATGAAAATCTGAATCTACTTCTTACTTGACTTGGCTCTGCAAGCTGTATAGAATCTGCTCTTGAGAAGGGAAGTTGTACAGATGAATTGCTTGATGTAATTAAGCTTGTGCAAAACAATGTTTCCAGATCCTGGCTGAATTTCTATGACTGAGCATCAGTGAAGTGTCTGGCCATGGCTTTAATAGCTACAAGGTGGCACTTAACGATTTCCTTCTTCTAAAAGTATTGGCAATTCAAATGAATGCCTACGGGGATTCATTTTCAGGATAAGGACTGATATTCTTGATCGGAGCAGAAAACTGCATGCCAAAGCTTTGTAATGATTGCATATGCTCTCACGTGATGGGCACGTCTTACTGTACTCAAGAGTTTCAGTGCATAGAAGTTTGAACAAGTACAGGCAAGTTCACCCCACCCTTACCTCCCATTTTTTTTACCCTCCCCCCACCCGCTCCCAAAACAAAAACCCAGACCTGCCCCAAAACAAAAGACAACCCCCAAACCCAGCTGATTCCTTCTACTTTCTTATGTACTAGGTACACAAAGTGTGCCCCTCTCTATTTTCTTTCCTGGGCGACTATGACTTTAAACATGAATTGTAATAGGGGAGGAGAGGCAGTCAGATTCTCAGCTGCCTGACAGCAGAGGCCTGGAAGTGTGCAGCTTAGCTCCTCTGAAGTCTGTGCTGGGGCTGGAACCTTGGGGCTATGTGAATGAGCAGCAAGGGAGGAAAAAAGAAAAAAAAAGTTCTGCATTGACACTGCATTCTGTTAGTGATGGATTTAATTATCAAAATGACTAATTATTCCATTAAGGTAAGTGCTCCGCTAGGTGAGACTTGCAAAATTAGAAATATAATAACTTACATGCACTACATTGCCAAGAAATTAAGACATTTATCAAGTTTACTGGGAGGATTAATGTGCCATTTTAGCTGCTGTTAGCACAAGAGACAAATTCAATTAAGGGGAAGTGAGAGGACGTCAACCCGTACTGAGGTCCCAGCTGGGGGAAGGGAAGGGGGGAGGCAGGAAGAAGTTGAGGACAAGGAGAAACTGGTACTCACCATGGCACCAACGCCGTAGGTGGGGGCTGGAGCAAGTGCGTGGTGGTAGGGGTCGGCAGCATAAACTCGTCCGTAACTGAAACGAAAATAGAGGTGAAGAGTGATCCATAGTATACAATTACAAAATAACAATCATAAAATCCAAAATACCAAGACAGTATGGAGGGGGGGGTGTCCTACTCATCTTGGAATAAGAAACAAATTCTACTTTGCCATGTAATAGTTCATCTGTGCACAATGCATTTTTTGTGCATTTCACATGGCTGATCATATTGCTATGTTTAACAGATAAATATATATACATACACACGTACATATACATAATAATTTTCCCTGCCTCCCCACATAACATTGTTTCTACACTGCTGAAGTAACTGCCTTAGAGATTGAGGTAGGCAAGAAAGAAACAACTTGAAGTATTAAGCCCAGCACCCATGGAGGGTGGAATGTTTATTCTCAAGAGTGCCTTTTTCCCCTGATTCAACTGTCACCATTCAAGTGAAATAGGGTGAATAGGAAAGGGTGAAGTGAACATGTCTGAAGTTAGTGTCCAGCATCTTAGAATGGAAATGAACAAGTGTATTTGAATGGAAGCACCCTTGAAGGGTCTGTGGGACCCCCATTTCCGTTCAATCAGACTGACTTGGTTTTGATCCTATTATTTCAGAACTTCAGTCTTATTCATCGATGGCCAGGTTCTGGGAAGGGAGAGGCATTTGAAACAACAAATCTTTGACATTTATTCATCTGTGTTTTTCTGTCTCTACCATCCTACTCCCTGCCATGGCTTCTGGTATAGGCTTTAGAATAAAAATGAAGAGATGGAAACCAAACGTACTGAATGCCTGCTAAATATCTGGAAGTGTGTGTTTTTTGTTTTTTTGGTTTTTTTTTGGAATCAGATGTGAAGTCACTTGCTCAAGGTCACATAACTACACAGAGCTAATTCTTGAATTTTCTTTTTTTTGGTCGGGGGGTGGGTATGGGGGAGACAAAGTCTTGCTGTGTAGCCCAGGCTGGTTCAAAACTCCAGGGTTCAAGTAATCTACCTGCCTCAGCCTACCAAAATGTTAGGATTACAGGCATGAGCCACTACACCCAGCCTGATCGTTGAATCTCTTAAGGCAACTTGCGTGCTTGGTCCACCGTATCCTCTGCCCGTACTTGTTTGCCCTGCCGGATAAATGGTGCTATTTTAATATTGACTGAAGCTGAGGTCCATTCCTTGAAAGCTGATTCTGGGAATAGAGATTCCTGTGCAAGTGACTTATTGAAGGGGGCACCCTTAAGAGGAAGAGAGGGACAAGTAGGTCAGAGCAAGGGAAAAAAGCAAGGTCTGAGATGAACAATATCTGCCACCTGATCCTGTGAGTTTCATGCTGCAGCTGGTTCCACCTGGAGGCAAGCGGGTTGGCTTTTTAATGCCCACGTACGTTTTAAGCATTAGCTGTGGGCTTTCCTGAGGAGTGAGTGATGCACCACTGAGTTTGATGCACCACTGAGTTAAAGTGGCTTCCTCTGACGTGGCACAATTTTCTGGAGAAGGGAGCAGCTGTATCTGTTGGCAACCAACATTCACAGCAGCTCGGGATGAATGCATCAGTCACTCAGTGGGATCTACATGGTTTTTTGATTCTTTGACCATTTCCTGAATGAAGGAACAAGGCTGGAAGAAATGAGTCTGTCTGCATTATCTACCTTAAACTCATCTCCCATCCCTTAGAGTCCAATTTGCATGTACTTTTTCCCTCTCCTTTCCTGTTTTCGCCCATTTTCCTTCCAATCTTTCTCACAGTTGGTAGATAAGTCACACCAATCCAATACATGCTTGACCCCTCACACTGTGGAGTCTGGGAAGGTGAAGGAAACGGGATGATGGTCCTTCTTAGACTCCAAGTTAGACCCTAGGTGGAATAAAACAATTATACCAGGTTTGCATTGATCATGTTCCAACTGTCAAAGGGCACTGAGTGTGCAAATAATCTAGATGAGGCTTTCAGCTTCAACAGGATTCTCCTGATCCTCAAACAATGACATAAAGGGATGCCTCTCTTCCGAGGTAAATAATGCACTTTCCTTTGGCAAAGCTATTTAATAAATAGGATATAAACTGCAAAGGCAAACTGAAATCTTTGAGACTTTAAGTGATGTTATGGCATGGTGTTACTTCAAATGTGAAAAGATGCAAATTCAGATATTTCATTTTAAAAATTGGGGAAATGGTTTTACTGTGGCAATAATTTCCTCTTCTAGGGAGACACTATATGGGCAGTTTGAATGTATTGAATAAAAGTGTAGCTCCCACCTTTTTACTACTGCATACTTTAAAGGTAAATTCTATAACACTGGGCATAGTTTCAACCTTTGTGGAAAACCCAAGGTAACAATTTGGCAATACTCTTCCAAGGCAGAAGGAAAATACAGCAGCACTGAACTATTCCTTAGAAATGAGCTGGCTGCTTTTCTCCTCAGGGTGACCTCTACCTTCAGAATCCAATGGTTTTATTATGATTAATAAATTTCATTTCCATAGAGGAAAAGAGACCATGTCAGCTCAAACTGAAAGCAAGGAGGCTCCTTTTCAAATGCTAATTTCTAAACACGCCCTTGTGTGACACTACAATTTAGACACAAGGTTATTAGGGAAGATGTGGACTTGAGTGCTACGTTTGCAGCAGATATGCCAAGCACGTCAGCAATCTGATACACGCAGAGCTGGCTAAGCACAGCCCGGAGACAGAGCAAGGCAATGCCCAGGACATCTGCAGGAATGATGGGAAGATGTCTTACGGTCACCATGTTAAGACATGACCTGCAATATGGTCATCCTCCATACCATGCATCCCTGGCCAAAGTGGGCAGTAGTGCAGTCAGATCATGATCTCCATGTCCCCACTTCCCATTCATCAGTAATTTCAGAAGAAATCTTAAATGTGTCCACTTCACGCACATGATGACTACACTAATATAAACCACTAGTAGTTCATCAAAACCAACTCAACAGCCTGAAATCTTGTCTTTGTTCAACCCTTGCTCCTTCAAACCAGCAGCTATTTACATGTATCAAATCTCTCAAGTCCATCTATCCACTTAAGTATAAATTTATATACATCTAAATTCTATCACTCCCTGCTTAAAACCCTTCAATGGTTTTCCATTGATCTTAGAATAAAATCCAAACTTTAAGCTGCCTCTGCCCCTCTTTCAATCTTCATCTTCCTTCCCTTGGCCCTTGGTTACTGTGCTCCAGGCACACAGGATTTTTTTTTTTGAGACAGAGTCTTCCTCTGTTGCCCAGGCTGGAGTGCAGTGGCCAGATCTCAGCTCACTGCAAGCTACACCTCCCGGGTTTACACTATTCTGCTGCCTTCAGCCTCCTGAGTAGCTGGGACAACAGGCACTTGACACCAAGCCTGGCTAATATTTTTTGTATTTTTAATAGACACGGGGTTTCACCATGTTAGCCAGGATGGTCTCAATTTCCTGACCTAGGGATCCGCCTGCCTCAGCCTCCCAAAGTGCTGGGATTACAGGCGTGAGCCACCGCACCTGGCCCACACAGGCTTTTTAAATCATTCCTTTACACATGCAAATCCATTCTCTGCTTAGTCTTGGCACTTGCTCACCCTCCACCTGACTTTCAGCTTTTATGTTTCAAATCAAATGTCTCTTCCCTAGAGAGAAAGAGATGCTTCCTTCTCTGGCTCTCTGACTGCCTTTTTTTTTGTTTTTTTGTTTGAGTCAGAGTCTTGCTCCCTTCCCCAGGCTGGATTGCAGTGGCATGATCTCAGCTCACTCTAACCTCTGTCTCCCAGGTTCAAGCAATTCTCCTGCCTCAACCTCCCTAGTAGCTGGGATTGAAGGCACCCACCACCACGCCTGGCTAATTTTTATATTTTTTTAGTAGAGAACAGTGTTTCGCCATGTTGGCCAGGCTGGTCTCGAACTCCTGACCTCATGATTTGTCCACCTCGGCCTCCCAAAGTGCTAGGATTACAGACGTGAGCTACCGCACCCAGCCTGACTGTTCTTTAAGGGCACTTTCCAACTTCATCCCTACCCCTTCATGTCACATAGCAACTCGAATCTCATTCCTACCCCACCTGATCATTTACCTTTCATCCTCCTGGAATGAGAGCTCCATGCAGGCTGGGGCAGTGTCTATTTTGTCTGCCTTTACATTCCCAGTGTCTAGCACAGCCCTTGCCACAGTGCAGGTAGAGAGGAGCAGACCAATGGTACCGCAGGAGAGGAGGCAGCCAGACGAAGGAGTAAAGAGGGAAATGGGGCCTGGGAGATACTCATGCCAGTAATTACGATCCCACTAGTAGAATCTATCAGTATAGTCTTTCAGATATGCTTTTTGAAGATTCTGGGTCAGCTGCTCCATGACACATTCAGAACCCTTCAAGACAGAAGAAAAGTTTCTGGGGACTTCTAGAAATAGTGTGTAATTTTTTTACATTGCTTCTGTGAGTTTGCAGAACACTGGCCAAGTTGCCCTAAAACTCATCAAAAGCCTCTGGGGAAAAACGAAACAAAGATATCATAGAGGACTACTTTCCTGGCGAACTGACCACAGATTGCAACCATCATGAGACCTCATCTTTTTGACCTTTAGCAACAAGTTAAAACTGGAAAGCAACCCGAGACCTTGCGGATTCAGTACTTGGGGCAAGAAAGATCCAGGTTTGAGTTCTGCTTTGATGATGTCCTTGTTCTCATGACTTGACGGAGCATGCTCTCTGAGCCTTGATCTTCCTCATTTGTAAAGTAGTAATTTTCTGAGCCCTGCCTAATTCAAGGTGCATTCAAGAAAACCAGGTAGATTTTAAGCCACCTACAGCTACAGGAGATCATCATGCACAGCTTCTTAGATGGTATTTCACAAACCAATTTCTCCCTCCTTGCCCAGACTTTTGGTCTGCAGAGGCAAGTGAAAGATTCTACTCTAATATAATCACATGCAACTCTACCAATCAAATTACAGATGCTTTTGGAGTCAAGATCTAATTTATGAGTTACAGATGTCGTTTAAATAGATACACTTACTTGCACTTAAGGTCGTGTTGGAGC